TGCCGATACCATCGGCGAGCCGTGCACGGCCGGCGGGAGCGCGCCACGTGAGCGCCGCCCGTTACGCCGCGCTGACCGCCGATCGTTAACGGCGTGCCCTTTAATTGGCGCGGCCGTAAATTTCGGTGGGTTAGCCGGCCGACTCTGTCGGCAGGGACGACTGGCATCGGGTGGGCGGCTGCCTCACGCGTCGGCGCTGCTCAGCTTAGGTCGGGACCCGGGACTGCGCTCGGTGTTACTGGGGCGGGCCGAGGTAATGGCCCATGGTCAGGTGCTGACGCCGCCCCTGCCGGGCCAGGTGGTCTCCGACCGCCGCCCTGACCAGCATTCCTGGAATCCAGCGGCCGGTACTGTCTCAGACGCCCCGCGGAACACGGAGCGTTTAGCGCGGCTCCAGACACTCCGCCGTGACGCCGCCCGCCTCTCGCCGTTCGGCAGGTGTCCGTGCGCTGCAGAACCGGATTCGGACCGGATCCGGATCTGGTGTTGCCCGGTCGCGGTCCGGTCCGGTCCGGATCGGGAGACGATGGATCGAGTCGGCGTCCGGGGTGGGCCAATCGCGGTCCGGTCCGGATCGGGAGACACGCGTTTGTCCCCGCTGCCGGCTGTATTCATAACGTCATTTGTATTCCAATGGCCTGCTAACCGCCCGTCGACTGTGGAGTGGGCATACCGTTTGCTGTTACACTGGGTGATTATGACCGTGTTTGGAGCTGTTTAAAATGAAAATGTGGTCGGGCGCCCAAACTGTTATATGCATGCACATAACGTTTGGCCAACGTCTGGTGTGCTGGCCTCGTGTCAGGATCGTTTTTGTGGTCTATTTAGAACTATTCAGAACGCTCTGTTCACGTCGTGAATCGGAGCTGGGACTCTTTTATCGGCACGTCGTGGTGACTTGCGCTTTGACTGTTTGTTGGATGGAGGCTTGGATTTAAGTTTTTCTATCACTAGACTACCTATTCATGCTCTGCTGGAAGACGATGAAGCCACAGAAGGGCCTGAGGTCAAGAGTCACGCCGCTCTGGGAGTGTCTGCGTCCTTACACGTCCGAGCAGAGCCGCGGTGCGAATGTGATGAATGTGCCCGGGCAATCGATCACCGCCCAGCGACCAGCTAGATCTGGCCCAGCGCCGGAGCGATGTGATCCAGCACCGGAGCAATGTGATCCAGCGGCCAGCTAGATCTGGCCCAGCGCCGGAGCGATGTGATCCAGCGCCGGAGCAATGTGATCCAGCGGCCAGCTTGATCTGGCCCAGCGCGGGAGCGATGTGATCCAGCGAGCCGGGTCTGCAGACAGCACAGCCTTGCCTGGCACTGTGTGCCCCGCCGTCGGTTGGCAAGGCGCAGCCGGAGCGCGACGTCCACAGAGGCGTCGGCCGCCGGTAGCCAGCAAGAAGCGGGCGGGATGGCTGATGGATGGATGGATGGTGGGCCGGTCCTGCCGACTGCGGCCGCTACGCCTGCCGTCGTCACGCCCGTTAGTGACGGCATTGGGCCGTCGTGTGTCGCTCCCTTTGTCACAGTTTCCACTGTCGTCCTTGGTCATGGAGGAAGCGGCAGGCTATTTAGTTTTGCTCTCCTGGTTTCGGTTGTTAGCTGATTCGGGCGTCTTTTATCATCGGCCTGTGCCGCGACCTCAGGGCGATAAAGGTGCTGCTCGGAATTTCCGCCAATGGCTGATGTACTTTTTGCTGTAGCTCATGGTTATGGTCATGATTGAACATCACTCAGAGTCGACATGAGCATTAGTCATGCGTCGAGCCCTCCGAACGAGATGCTTCTTTGGCGGTGATGTTCCGTAGGGCGTCAGGAGTGCGGTTCGCTGAGCCGTAATTTCGCCGCCTCGGCCGTCTCCGTAAACGTGTCCTCAGCCGTCATTGCAGGCGACAGTGCCCGTGGCGGTAGCGCCCGTGCGGCAGTACCCGTGCGGCAGCGCCCGTGCGGTAGCGCCCGTGCGGCAGCGCCCGTGCGGTAGCGCCCGTGCGGTAGCGCCGTGCGGGATGGCCCGTATGGCAGCACCCGTGGCGGCAGCGCCCGTGTGGCAGCGCCCGTGCGGCAGCGCCCGTGTGGCAGCGCTCGAGGCCCGTGCGGCGCAGTGCAAGCGTCCCGCACGCTGTCCCCGCCTGGGGACGGTGCCGGCCCTGCCTGCTCGGCCATGTTCTGCGGGACGTCTGCAAGGCCAACGGGTGACACGGAGAGGCCCGGCGCCCGCGTCGCTGCCCGGTGCCGGGCGGCGCCGACCGCAGACCGTCCCGACCGCCGGCCGCCCGCTCGTCGGCACGTGTCGGCCGTCCGACAGAGACGACAGCCAGCCGGGAGGTGTCTGGCGGCGGCTCAGGCGGAGCACGAGGTCCAGGAGAGGTGTTGACGGGGAGCCGGCACGAAGCGACCCTGACGAAAGCAGCGGCTGGGAGTGTTTTCGACACGGATGAAGGTGGTTAAGGGCCCTTACAAGGCAGAGCCCAGAAGAAAAGCTCTTTCAGAAAGGGAGGCAAGTTTGAGGCAAGCGGCATATAATCATGTTCACATGCACATACATTCGAAATTCCTTAACGTGAAACTGAGTTCTCCCCCCTCCCCCTCCCCGCTTCCTCCTTTAACAAGCTGACCAGAACCTCCCAACTTGGGGCTGAACTCCCCAAACAGAAAGGTAACTCAGCCTAGAACATCGTGCTCTTGCAGAATTTAATAAATACAGGCTAGGGTGGAAACGGCATGGACAAGCACATGTTAAGTACAATTACTTTATCATAAGTTGTGTGAAGTGGCCCTGTTCCGGATCAGGCGCCCTCCCCTATGTACCCCCCCCCCCCCCCCCCCCACTGCAGTGGCCGAGCGTTAGCGCCTCGGGCTCCATCCGTGGGGATCCGGGAACCATTATTTTCATACTCTTCTTATGACTCTTCTACTTAATCCATAGACCCTTCAATGCATACGCCCTGTATAGGGCACGTAAATGTTAGATAAAAATTGCGTATCATAGTTGCTGTTCTTTTTCTTTGTAGCAGTTTGGCTAACATATCACAGTGCCTGGCGACTCCCTGGTAAAAATAGTGAACTATGGGGACACATCTGCCCTCTTTCCGCTCAAACACTGGACGCTGACTGGTGGAACTCCCCCAGGAGACAACTCGCGAGACCTCATTTCATCCAGGAGTCCCCCGATAAAGATCCGCCCTCCACCAAGGCCCGTATCACCTCCAGTGTCGCCTGGCAACGCTGACCGGGCCTAACCGGGATCCCGGGGGCGGGCCAGGTATCGACACGCCGCACGGCCGCGGCAGGGACCTCCCGCTCGGCCGTGTTCAGCCGCCGGTGCTGAGGCTCTGTTTAGCGGGTACAGTTTACTGAACGGTATGGGCCGTTGTTTGTTGAACCCGGGCCCCGGTGGCCGGTGCGCCCGACAAAGGCCGCCGCTCCGCTCGCGGGGCGCCGCTCTCTGGCGAGCAAACGACGCCAAAACGGCTGCATACTGGGGCGCTCTTCGTGTTGACTGCTCGCCCTTTGGCACTAAACGGCATGTTGAATTATATTTCCCGTTTGTAGAGAATGTTTTTATGCTCGTTCACGGGCTCATCTCTGGTGTGCACTCGCTGCCGAGTACTTGCATCATTTGCATGCAGCTCCTTGAGTGGAGCAGTGTGCCAAGGCACCTGGGTGCAGGTCTGACCCGTCGCGTATCATAAAAGCACGGTGACGCCCGCCTTGCAGGGTTTTGTAGACCTTGCAAAGTTGATTCATGGTTCTCAGTGTCACACACGGCGTGGTCATGTCCCACCACCAGCTGTGGTCGCGGCGCCGGCGTCCCACCACCAGCGGTGGCACTGGACGTCCAGCATGCGTCAGCGCGCGTGCCATTGACGTGCCATGGTACGTCAATGTGCGTGCCGCGCCATGTTCGGCGTCCGATTGAAGTGCCGCGGCGCGTCCGGAATATTCAAGGGAGAATGTCGGCGGCTCCCTGTGATCTATCTCCGGAGACGCGCCGGCCACAGGCCCTCCAGACTGGGCCTTTTTGCCAGCGTCCGCCTGATCTGGGCCCGCTGTGCCCGGACCAAGCTCGCACGCCGGGTGAGGACACGGCCGTCCGCTATCAGTACAGGTTTGAAACCTTCTCCCGGTCTTACGCTTCCGGCACTGCTGCACGGTCATGCACCGCAAGAGCTGCTCCCCAGAGGGGCGGACGGCAAGCTCGGCCCCTCTGTTGGGACAGCCAGTCAGGGGCCAGTCGGCCTGGTCTGAGGACAGTGAGCCGTGGCGTACGCGGTTGTGTCGGCCGTCGCCGCGACCGACGCCGTGGCGTCATCTGTTGTCGTCCGGGCGCCGCCCTGCCATGAGCCCGGCGGCCCTGCAGGGACCGGTTCGTCGGATTGATGCAGCCGGCGCGAGGCCGGCGGAGGCGGCCACGGTCACCGCCGCTCAGCGGCGCCGTCTGACCACAGCGTGCTTCCGCTGAGGCCGAGCCTAACCTCGGCTAAAACTGATTGTGTTCGGGGAACCCGCTGCTGACCCCCGAGTAAACCCGGCAGTGGCAGACGGTAAGCTTGTCACATATTTTCGGTTGGAGAGGAGTTTTAAGAAATGATGCGACTGTTTTGTGGCAGGCTGGGCCTAGCTTCTGGGAAACGTCAGTGACAGAATCGCAGCATTACGTTGATGTAATTGGCTGCAGCTACCCTTTACGATACACCGATTTCAGTTACGTTCATATAATTGACTGCATCTGTCCGTTGCGATACACCAGTACCACACAAATTTTCCTTTCCACCACACCAGTATTTATTGAAAACTGGCGCAATGCAAGCGCCGTTTTGCGATGCCGGCGCTTCATTTTAAGTATGTGTCTAAGGTGATGTCACGCCTGCCGGGCCCTCGGGAGGTGACTGTCAGCGGCAGCGGTGGCCCAGCCGCCGTGTCCGCGCCCGGTCTGCGTACGGACACGGCTGGCGTCCCCGCTCTGTTGCGCCTGGCCGAGCGGGCGGCCGCCGCGGGCTCACCTCGTCTGTGGTCGGCTGTCGGCGGCTGGCTGCTGGGCCGTCCACTCCGATCACATGTATGCGAACCGCCGGGTCGGCCGGGAGGAGCGCGCGGCGCACCGTTCAGACTGCGACTGGCCTCCGCACCGCGCCGTCTCCGGCCGCCACCCCCGGCCGGGCCACAGACTGGTCCCTCCCGCCTCAGGGCCACTGATGGATCGATCCCTTCCGCCTCAGGGCCTTTTGATGGACCGATCCCTTCCGCCTCAGGGATACTGATGGACCGATCCCTCCCTCGTCAGGGCCACTGATGGATCGATCCCTCCCTCCTCAGGGCCACTGATGGGCCGATCCCTCCCTCCTCAGGGCCACTGATGGATCGATCCCTCCCTCCTCAGGGCCACTGATGGGCCGATCCCTCCTTCCTCAGAGCCACTGATGGGCCGATCCCTCCTTCCTCAGGGCCACTGATGGGCCGATCCCTCCTTCCTCAGGGCCACTGATGGATCGATTCCTCCCTCCTCAGGGCCACTGATGGGCCGATCCCTCCTTCCTCAGGGCCACTGATGGATCGGTTCCTCCCTCCTCAGGGCCACTGATGGGCCGATCCCTCCTTCCTCAGGGCCACTGATGGATCGGTTCCTCCCTCCTCAGGGCCACTGATGGGCCGATCCCTTCCGCCTCAGGGCCAATGGTGGACCGATCCCTTTCGCCTCAGGGATACTGATGGACCGATCCCTCCCTCGTCAGGGCCACTGATGGGCTGATCCTTCCGCGTCAGGGCCACTGATGAACCGATCCCCCCCCCCCACCCCCAACGCCTCAGGGCCGCCCCGGAGATCGAGACTGGAGCAGGTTCAATGACACAGGGCAACTACAGAGTAACCCTCAAAGTTAATAAGACTTGTGCGTTTCGTTGTATCCCTAGTGAATGGGCCCAACATTGCACCTTTTTGTTATATCTCCTGTAAGGGTGTTCAGTGCTGGTGTATTAATGTGTTGTTGGAATCGGAAATATTAAGTTAAGAGCTTGTTGTTTCTCCAATAAATTTGAAACGAGTATAGTCGTCATGAAAGTTTTTTGTAGCATCGCCGATGCACTTGAATGCCGCGTTGTCACATAGTCGAATAATCAGCCCAATTCATTTTGAAGGTAATCAGCTCTAAACGACAATTATTTTTCCCAGGGATGCTTCTTCCTTTTCAGTTGGAATGGGGGACAAGCTTCAGCTCCTCTCCTCCCCCTCCCAAGTTACATTTCTCGCTACAGCCCCCCCCCCCCCCCCCCTCCTCCCTCCAACTTTGATAAGGTAGCGGGCTAAATCCTTGAAGAAAGCGTTTTTTGCCGTGTTATGGAAATATGTCACTTTTTACTGTGCAGTCCTCTTCCCCCTTCCTCAAAATTCATTTTGCGGAACTACGTCCCTGTTCAAGCCACGTATAGCAGTTGCATTTGGCCCAGGATGATAGCCTGTTGTGCATAAACGCAGTCCCCTGCGGTTGGCCTGGGTTTCGTTTCATACGCGCTGAAGTAATCTGACGATTGCTCCACCGCCAGATGTCATGCCGCCTTCTAGACTCTGACGTCGTTTTCCGCGTTTTTTTTTAACGGTGGGGTGAGAACTCCGCCGTGGCAAGCGTCTCTTGGGAACGAGTGCGAGCGACGAGGCTTGCATATTTCAACCATGTATGCATACGTGGTTGAAATATGTAGCCTCGTTCCGGATCCCTGGCATGCGAAATTTTGGAATATCTGAAGCAAGACTGCGCTTTTGCGAGCTGATGATACCAATTAAGGATGGGGTTTTCATTGCACACTAGGCACAGGCCCGGAAGCTACCACGTTATGGGTTTCGGGGACTCGAGCCCCCCAACACCCACTACGTTTGGATAAATTTAGCTTAAAGCTTAGTGACCCAAGCAAGAAACGAACTGAAATGCCTCGGACTCTCCTTCCCCTCCCCTTAACCCTGGACAAGTTGTTGCCCTCCCGGCGTTTGGTATTCCATTGTCTTAGCCACTATTGTTAGCAGATGCCTTGAACTGCCAGGGGAAGCCAAAAGTTCGTGCTGTCGGGCACTTTGTCTATCTTAGTGATTTGTTTTAATCTAGGCATGTCAGGCCTGCTTCCTTTAAGACTTGGTACGTTTTTGTCTGCCGTGCTGCCACGCAAATTGCAATCAACTGATCGGTTGACCATTGGTGCTTTAGGGTACGCTGACAGCAGAGACGAAGTTAAGATCGTAAGGCTTTTTCAACCTTGAGAGTTAGGTGGAGATCACCTGAAAATGAACCTCTAATAGAATATACTTCGCAGCACCTGGCTGATGTATGGGCCGAGGTGCAAAGGTCCCTCCCACTTCTCACTGGGTTTGGGTGGTTGTTCGGTGCCTGCGGCGTCTAGTGTCGCACCTTTGGTGGCCATACAGCCGGCATGTGATCACGCCTCCGCTGGCGCATCATCCTTTGGTGGCCATACAGCCGGCATGTGATCACGCCTCCTCTGGCGCATCATCCTTTGGTGGCCATACAGCCGGCATGTGATCACGCCTCCTCTGGCGCATCGTCCTTTGGTGGTCATACAGCCGGCATCTGATCACGCCTCGTCCGGCGCATCATCCTTTGGTGGCCATACAGCCGGCATGTGATCACGCCTCCCCTGGCGCATCATCCTTTGGTGGCCATACAGCCGGCATGTGATCACGCCTCCCCTGGCGCATCATCCTTTGGTGGCCATACAGCCGGTATCTGATCACACCTCGGCTGGCGCATCATCCTTTGGTGGCCATACAGCCGGTATCTGATCACACCTCGGCTAGCGTATCGTCAGCTCTGGCGCGCTCAGGGGGGGGGGGGGGGGTCGTGAGTTTGTTGCTCAACGACGCTCTCAAACGACCGGTCAGTGTGCGAACGCTTCAGCGCGGGACAGCGGCCTGCCTTCCGGTCCGTCGCTGATGCCGAGTGGCATTGTTGTACAGCGTGGTGCGTTTTCCGCCGGCAGCTGACGCTCAGAGATAGTTGCCGGTGTGTGTTTGTTTAGCCGATTCAATGACACTAGCAACGGCACAAGCAATCAAAAGGATGCTCTCGCTGTTCTTTCTCCTCCATCGCACACTCAGAGTGAGTCAGGCGCTTCTGTACGATGGCTTCCACTCACGTTATGAGCCTGCATGAGCAGGACCACTGTCGTCCCTTCGTTGCTTACCGGCCGGGGGTCTTAATGCGTGGCATAACTCATGCTGCAAACGGTAAGGCACGCTACGTTTCGGGCATGATAAAAATGCGGAATGTTCAAGATTTCGGCCCGCGACCTTGTGTGCACTTGGCAGGGGTTGCACTTTCACTCAAACGTCGTGTGAACTCGCAGTATTTCATGGCCGCTCCTATCGGAACTAATCGGATGTTGAAGCCATCCCGGACCGACGTGACACGATAAGACGGTTGTGGCCGAGCGCCTTCAGTGAGCTGGTCAAAGTGGTAATACTTTGCACCCATGTGTCCGGTGTACCTCACTTATCGTCGTGAGGCTCGTATCATCCGTGAAAGTGTGATCCGTTTCAATCACGTTGAATATGTCTGGCTTAATGCTCCACCGGTCCGTTACTCATGCGAACGACGTTTGGTCGTGAGAGCCGGGTCCGTCGCTCGTTCAGTGGTTGTGCATAAGCTGGCTCGCCTGCTTAAATACAAGTGGGCTCAACAAGGTAGCGCTTGTGGGGGAATGCACATCATAGTTTCGGGGTTGTGCCGAAAATAAGCTTGTCTCATCACAGCGCTGGAGGGTGTCGCGGCTTCGGCACTAGTTTAAGCATCAGCGACCTGTTTATGAGTTCCTATCGCGGTCAAATGTGTAAAGAAGGTGGTAGGTGGGGCGTGGTTGGTGGGTATTGAGCACTTTGAAATGTTGCTTTCTGCGTAACGTCTTAGGTGTCATGCTTAATTCCGCAAGATGTAAGGGACTTGTCTCCGTCCCTTTATGACAGAGCACATGTCAATTAAATGTGTTTTATTATATTTGGCAGTAGGTTCATAATTGTGCTCGTATCTCGTTCTGAAGCACCTCATCCTCTCCGAAATGAAAAACGAAAAGGTATGAATGGTTGCGTTAATTTTTCAGAATGCATTACTGCCGCGGAGCTATTGTGGCCCTAGCAACAAAATGTTCCTTGTGGATCAAGAGCGCAGCCGTGAGGAAATCAGCTTTTTCTCGGACACGATACCTTGACTTCGCATTCGTCAATGAGCTGCGTTTGTTGCGATGGCGGAGGGCACTCAGGTTCCTTATGACTGTGGTTATCGCCACGTCGGCAGCGCTGGGAGTCATGGCTTCGTTCGGTCGGACTCCGGACGTTTATGTAGATGAGGAAACAACGTGCCATGAAAGTCTGTGTCCTACGCAATAGCTTTTAGCAACATGTTCTGTCTCAGTAGTAGATGCAGAACAGTGGAGTTGTGCTACATCTAGGCGATAGCTTTGTCGGCACTAGGGGTCCTTACGCTGAAAATATTGGCCTTCATTTCACTATGATGCACTGGTTAACCGAGCTCGTGAGGCGGTCATAAGAATACATTATGAGAATGCACGACGCTTCAAGGCAGCGTCCATGGTAAGTCGTGACCATCAGACCAATGTTCATGGCCACTGACGAACACCGCACGTCGAGTACTCTCGTGCTATGTTCTGATGATCGTTTGATGTCTTAAGAGCTCCCATGAGGTCTTTCTTGTGAGCTCACATCGCCGAAAAACCATAGGCTTGAGGCCTTTCTTGTGTGCACGATTGCCTTTTTCAGGTAGGCGTACTCCAAGCATGTTCAACGTGAAATCGAGTTCACATTTTTCATTGCACTGAACTTTTATCAAGTCTGTCATCGACAGCTGCAAAATCAATTCATCTTCCGCTCAACAAAAATTGGTTTAAGCTGCTGGATACGGCTAAGACACTTGCATGACGTCTGTGATGTTGGCTGTTATGTATGAAGTGTGAAGGCTCGATGATGTATGTTATCGGTGCTCGAGGGAATCTTGGTAGTTTTTGGTGTTGGTTATCGCGCTTTGTGCATTCCATCCTCTAATGTTTCTGGAGTTTCCATGTACGGGTCAGCCCTTTGAAAAGAGGGC